TTCGGCTGCAAAGCCAACGCGACTAGGGAAATGCTATGAATATACGTGCAACAAATACACCGCACTGCTTGCCACGAAACTGGCCAAGACAGCGAGGCACAACACGTCGAAACAACGAGCGCCGCCAAACACATGAACAAAGGCTTTGGGCTTTGGATTGGCTTTGGATCCGTGGCCACGGGATAGACAAATAGTAAAAACCACGACGCTGCCGTGGATGGTACCTATCGCCCTCTTGTGGCGGTGCAATATACCGCAATTTTTACAAAAAAAATTTGAAAAAAAAAAATTGTCACATTTTTGTAAAATTTGAAGCAAGATTTGTAAAATTGTAGAGTTAGTCCCAATTTATACTTTTCTAAAAAAATTCGGAAGAATTGGCAGGCAGGAAACACTATTGCCAGCTTTCTGGCAAAATAAATTGCCGACGATTGACCACCCGAATTTGATATAAATAAAAGTATGGCAATGCCTGGCACTTGTGGGAGCCGAGGGTGAAAGACGAGGCAGAGAGCACGTGACAGGCGGCCGGCAGAGAAGACACGTGCTGGCACGAGAGATTGGGTGCAAGGAACGTTGAAGCCAAGCTGCCTAGCCTGGCCCATAACGAACCCCCGCGCTAAGGCTGCTACGAGTGCCGGTTGCTTCGCCTCCTCCCAACCGTCCGTGAGAGACCTCACCCCTGCATCCGGAGACATTCTCCTGTTCTTCCCGCGCTTCTCGTTACACTCTGGTTGCGTCATCTCCTCCCAACCACCATCCTGGGGCGCCCGAGAGAGCGCATCCGCGACCTTGTTGGTCGATCCCTTTCGGTACTCAACCGTGTACGAGTAGCGCTGCAAGGTTAGTACCCAGTGGGCCAGCCTTCCCGCGGGCTCTTTTAGCCTCTGAATCCAGGTAAGTGCTGCGTGATCAGTCTGAATAACGAAAGTCGTACCGTCTAAATAGAGGTCGAACTTCTTCAGAGCAAACATGACGGCCAACCCCTCCTTTTCCGTCACGCTGTAGTTGCGTTCCGACGGTGTGAGCGTTCGACTAGCGAATGCCACAGGGCGCAACTGTCCATCGTGCTCCTGTAGCAATACTGCTCCGACACCGTAGTCGCTCGCATCTGTCTGCACAACAAAATGCCGATTAAGATCTGGTAACCGAAGGCTAGCGGTGCTTGCTATTGCCCTCGCAAGAGACGAGAAGGCAGCACCCTGCTCTGGACCCCAGACCCACCTCGAGCCTTTCCGGAGCAGCAAATTCAATGGCCGCGCCAGCTCCGCGCACATCGGGATGAACTGCCGGTAAAAGCCAACCATCCCCAGAAACCTTTGAAGGCTCTTTACATCGTGCGGTGGTGGATAATCGAGAATGGCCCTCAATTTCTCATCGTTCGGCTTCAAGGTACCATTGTCTACGACAAAGCCCAAAAGATTTACCTTTGAGGCGGCCAGTTGCACCTTTTTTGGATTAATTGTTAGACCGGCCTCACTCATTCGCCTTAAGACGATCTCGAGATGAGTTAGGTGCTCTTTGAACGACTTGGAGAATACCACAACGTCATCCATGTAGGCCATGGCGAAGTTAAATTTCGCATCGCCCAGCACGATGTCCATGAGCCGTTGGAAACTCGACGGCGAGTTCGACAACCCAAACGGAAGACGCGTAAACTCAAATAACCCCCTGTAACAGGTGAACGCCGTCTTTTGGACATCGTCTGGCGCCACCTGGATCTGGAGAAAGCCCCTGCTACAATCCAGCGTGGTGAAAACCCTCGCGCCTCCAAGCGAATACATTATAGACTCAATAGAGGGAAAAGGATACGCGTCCCTTCTAGTGACCTCATTAAGTCTTCGGTAATCAACGCAAAGGCGCGCGGTGCCGTCTTTCTTTGGCGCCAAAACTACTGGAAACGCCCAGGGACTCTGCGATGGCCGCACCGCCCCTGTGTCCAGCATCTCGTCGAGAGCCGCGTCTAGGAGGGCCCGTTTATGTACGCTTAGTGGTCTAGGATTACACCCCCACGGCCTGGCCTCTCCTGTATCTATCTTATGTTGTAAAACAGTCGTAAGCCCCGGTCTCTCGGTAAACATAGCTGCGTGTTGGGACAAGGCGTTCGCTAGCATCCGCCGTTGGTCGGCGGGCCCATCGAAAGACGCAATTATCATTTCGACGTTCCCGGGCACGACTCGCGCAGCTAATGCCTGCTCCTGGCGTGACGCAGCGAGCGAACGTTCCATTCCCTGCACCAGAGATGAACGGGCAACAAAGGGAATAAGAGGAGAAAACGCATGATAACGATACCCGTTGTTCCTCAAGTCCAGGATTATGCCCTCACGACAGACGAAGTCCTGCCCCAAAATAACAGGAATCGACATACCGGGCAAGTAAACGAAGCGTTGCCTCCTTCGTCTGCCGTCAAGGTCAAGGTGAAGGCGGATCGCCCCTTGCGCTTCGGCCAATCCTGTCGCTAAACGCAGCGGAGTTACAAGTTCCCGCGCGCAAAGGTTCCTGTTACGGCAGTCCTCGTACACATTATCGCCAATTAGAGAAAGGGTAGAACCGGTGTCAATTAGTGCCGAATATTCTCTACCACCGATCTCTACACGCACGTACGGGCCCTTCTCAGGTGTCGTGCTCTGAGCCCGACACGCCGACGGGGCCATCGCCACGCGGTCGCCGGCCACAATTTCCGCCCTGTCGGCACACTGATACTGGGCCTCGGCAGCGGCCGGCAACCTCGACTCAGAGGACCTGATTAGTGGCGCCGGCCTCTGGCGTTTCCCTCGGAACCCTGAGAACCAGACGCTACCCACGTGCAATGCCGCCTGATGTGCCCAAGACGGTGACAGTTGTAACACCTGACTTGTGGCCGGTCGTTACGCGCAACCTGTCCATCGTTACTCTCACGCGACACTTCATCTGTGGCAAACCGCGGTGAGTCATGATTCCCGCGACTGTCGTGACCAGTCGCGCCTCTGCGGTGGTTGACCACTGCGCCACCCCTACGGGTCTGCACTCGGGCCGAGTTTACGTTGGCTGCCCTACGCCTTTGCTCGTAAGCGAAGGGGTCCAAAGCCCGGGGCGTTATAGTTACCCCGTGACCGCGCTCCGCAACGGCCGTATACGCTGTCCGCGACTCAATGTTAGTGTCTGCGGCGCGTCCTGCCCACGCGCATCTTGGCTCTAGGGACTCCTCGGCCCTCGGAGGGGGGCGGTAATGCAGCTCAGCGAGCAAGCCCGCTTGGACCGTTCGCGCCTCTCTGGCAAGTGCCTCCAGATCCGCGAAATCCCGCCCGCGCAGATAGGCTTTGAATCTAGGGTGACATTGCCGTATCGCTCTAGCTACCTTCTCTGCGTCAGACGCGGATGGTTCGGCCCTCGAGTAGAGCTCCTGGAGCGCGCGAACGTACTCCACGAGGCTCTCGTCGGGGTGCTGAGTGCGATTAGCTAGTTCGTCCCTAATCCGCATCTCGTAATCAGGGGGCAAAAATTCCTCCCTAAACCGCGTCCGGAAGTCCGCCATCGATAGAAACGGTCGTTGCAACCGTCTCCAGCGCGACGCGTCGCCCGTTAACGCGATTGGCACGATCTGCACCAAGGCCGTTTCCTCTGATGCTCCCAACGCGGCTACATACGCGTCTAAGTCCTGTAAGAAATCGTGGACCGATTTCCCGTCGGAATATCCCGCGTAGGTCGGCGTCGGTACGGACAACCGCGGTCGGGGCAGAGACATAGGCGCGGCACTCGCGACTCCTGGAGTCGTCGCGATTTGTCGCGAGAACGTCTCCATCATCGCCGTAATGGCGCGCATAAACTCGCCGATAGCTGCCGCGCCTCCAGCTGGAGCTGGTGGTAAAATCCCAGCATCTGGAGATGCTCGCGTACTAGAGCCTTCTCCGGCCCCCGCAGCGTCAGACGGTTCCTGAATTCCGCTCTCAGACGAGTCGTCCTCGTCCCTATTGGGGGTCGACCTCGTCTTGGGGGGCATCGTTAGCGTTTACCCTTCTACACCACGCTGAACGCTCAATAGATCTGTGTGACTCCCCGGGACGAACAGAACAAGCAGCAGACCAATCGGGCCCCACGTTGGGCGCCAGTTGTGTGGGTCGCTCTACTATACTGCTGCCCACTCGGTCCCTGCCTGGTCCGCCCTCCCAAGAAGTCACACGAGCAAGAATGAATTCAAATCACTTTACTGTTTCGGCTGGTCGCTGTGCCTTGCCGTTGCAGTCCTCGTCCGTGTCTTGCCCCAGTGCCTGGCGGAATCTCACGTGCCCTCTGTCACACGCACTGGGCCGCCGGCCTCCGCTCCTGCCCCTCGCGCGCCGTCGTCCTCCTCGGCTTCCCACACACTATCACCATACAGCTGCTGCGAAAAGCCAAAGGAACGATAGAGTTATTGAAGAATGTGGCATTTGGTTATCTCGCATCAGGGGGCTAGCAGAGTGCTGCGGTTTTAACTTTGCTTGAACACCGGGTAATATGCCTTTTCACTGCCACAAATACCATAAAAGGGTTCCCCTAGATAAACTTGAAAAAAACTTTCAGCCTTTACACTCTGGTGAAGAAGGAAGACCAGCAAAGCTGTACCTCAAGGATGACAATGAAAAGGTTGCCGCCATTTCTCATAGATGACGGTAGCTGGGGAAACTAGCCCTTAACAGCTCCCTGTAAAACTACAAGGGACTTGGGAGTTCCCAAAGGAAGTAGGACCGCATTGTTTTGAACGCAATGGTACTACCAGTGATTATACTGCGTGACAGCAACAATGCCACCTCCGATGTTCTCACCAACGTCTTCCCATTTTTGCAAAGGATGTTTCACACCATGCCCGAAGTACCGTCAATCGTTGCTGCTTTCTCGAAACAAGCGGTCAGACAAGGCCAAGATATCAAGTTTTAAATCGATGTTCCCCACATGGTCATTTTTGTCACAGGAGTCTTGACAATGAAATTCGAGGGCTCACAAGGGAGCACAGAACAAAAAGGCATGCAGTGCAGTAGACTCACTTGGAGGACATGAACTTCTTCTGGATGGCCTGCTGTGCTTGTGTGCCAGCATTGCAGAAGCTGCTGTGCAGGCTGTGGATGCACTCCTTGAATCTTCCACGTTATAGCCAGAGTAGAAGACCAGGTCCGAGGACTGCACGCAATGAAGAGGAAAATACTTATGGATTGCGGAAGTTAAAGGGGCACTCCTGCGTTTTCTTTATAGTCCCAGATTTCCCTCAAAATTGACTCAACTCTGAGCATATGTTAACCGTAGCTGTCTGTTATTCTTCCATTCCCTCTGCCGCCCCCGCTATGTTCTTTCCTTCCGAATTGCTCCCCGCAACCCGAGTTCTCTAGAGCCAACGAGCCCTCGCCGTTCAAAGCACCGTCCATTCTTCTTGCCCTCAGTTCTACCCGTCGCCCAAATGTAAACACCAGCCAAGTCGACTCTGCTCGCAAGCCCCGGTAGCAGACTTGTTCGCCGCAGCTGTAACCTTACACCTCACTTCATAAACTAGCCTCGCCCTCGCCCGCTGCCATAGCCTCAAAGTACTCCAAGCCCACGTTCTTCTCTTTCCAGTTGCTTCCGCCGGTCCCACTGACTCAGACAAACCTTTCTTTTCCATAATAAACAGTTATCTTAATCTTTCAACTTGTTCTTTCTTCCTGGGGACTACCACCAGCCCCCACACAACAAACACTGCCGAATTAACCAAATTGTTTGGCCAAAATATTTCCGCCAATATATTAAATTTACACTGTTTGTCCACGGTTTTCTTTGAGACTGAAAGTTTCTACTGGCAACAATGAAAAAGTGACGCCAGCGGCAGGTAGGGGTTCATTTTTGGAATGTAGAATAGGTTCCCACTGATTGCAAGCAGTTTCATGGCATCGAATAAATGTTCTGGAAGCGCGATCAACCACCCATGCTGCAGCATGAAACATGCTTGGCATGCTGTACTGCATTTACACGATTGTAGGTTGAGTCGTAGAAACAAAGCATTCCACAGCCGACAAAAATGAATCAACTGTGACATCAAGAACACTAATGCTCGAGTTCAGCCGGCTGAACCTGTAGCATTGCGCTATTCTGGACGTTCATTATACAACTTTTCCTCTTCATTATTGCAGAAAAATGTATTATTTATTTCCATTTGCAAACCAGCCTGAATGTTCGGCGGTGAACGGACGCGCCTGAATCACAAGGGTGACGGCACTTGACGCAAGAGCCCCTACGGAACGACCATGGAACAGCCTCACTCCCCCGCTTTTCGCAAAATGCACGGTCGCACATCGTTTGATCGAAAGTCGAGGTCATGGAAGCTTGCTGGAAAGCCAAATAAGTTTCTACCGACACTTGTCATCCAGGCAGCTTCGGTTTTCGGTGCTCATTTACGGCCCATACTTCATACGAAAGCGACCGAAAACAGCGCTGCTAGACGCAAGTTCGACCCGTCAAAACGGGTGGTGCTCTAGCAGCGTCTGCAACGGCAGAGGGGCTTAATCATGGCAACAAACTGAGTGGCTTCCGAGGGCCAAAGTCTGGATAGGTCCAGATGCTTTCCAAAATTAGAGGTCAAGCTTGTAACGTACGTCGCAGAAGCGCGCGATCGGCTGCTGCCCGTGACGGGCGATGCGATCACAGTGGAAGCGCGTAAGATGCGGTCATTTGCTAAGTGCGAGAGTTTCTAGGACGATACCGACGAATCATTGTCTAGTAGCAGACAAAGAGAAAGAAGGACAGGGGGCAGCTTCAGTTGTTCCTCCAGCTTTGATAACTCTCCGGCATCTCGTGCGCCTCGCATGTGCGTGACCGACCAAAGCACGGCAGAAGGCATCGAATGCATGCTGGAGGCCGAGGTTTTGAGAGACGCCCTGCCGTTCACATGTTAGCCATGGAATGTGCCTCTAAACTATAATCTTTCTTTTTTGCTGCTGTGGATTTTTTTACGGGGGGGGGGGGGGGGGTGGGGGGTCACTTACAATCGTGGGAATACAGTATTTATACTCCCTGCTCGTCTGTAATGTGAAACTGAAAAGCACAGGTATATTTGATTGTTGCGTTTGACCTAACCTTCATTTGCTCATTTCACAATAACTATTTTGACTTTTGCGATACAAAAAAGTATACCAGAGGGGGTAAAAGACCGGCGATTCAAAAAACCGAGTTAGCTCGGGTGGCTGAAAAAAATGTTGTGGGAGTACCCCTTTAAGCACAGCAGACTTCAATGGCTTTTATGCCCAAACTATGGCTCATGAAGGTCTGCATAAAAAGTCACAAGCGCGCCGCTTGCCCGCTGCGCAATCGGTCAAGTGGTCAAGGAACCGCCCACCTAAACTGGAGTGTGAGTAGCACAACATGCAAAACAAACACTCGCATGGAACGTCACAGCTAGAGCATTAAAATGGCAGTCTTGCTCTCAGTACAATGAAGAACTAACTACTGTACGAGGGCGGCAGGGTATCTATGCTCACTGAGGTTCTCATTTTAACATGACCTACATGAGCCGAACCACCCATAACACAATTTTAATGCGAAAGCATTAACTGGACCCATGGAGCGAACCACAGTCATCAGCATTGAAGCGGCGCCAAACGGCACCTTCCCCCGTCCAAATATCGTCTGTAGCAGAAATCTGATGGCCCATTGGCTGGCACATGTCATAGTTCCAAGGAACGAGGCTCCCATCGGCTCTCGTGCGGCGTAGTTCCCCTGGACGCCACCAGGGAAGCCATCGCCATGGTGGCGCAGCGCACGCAGCAACTTGGCAAGGTGCGGCAGTGCGGGCCTGACCGCAGAGCCCGTCCGGGCAAGCTCAAGAAAGAATGCACGGCCGAGCTCAGCGCGGCACGGGCACTTCACGAGAGCTCGTGCTCTGCTGTCGCCAAGCAAAATCTGGCCGTCCACGCCATGACGCCGCAGACGAAATGAGGGAACGGAAGGTCGACATTCATGCTTTCGCATCCACAACTCATAAGTGCGTAGGTGTCCTCGAAATATATTGGCTGGAAATTCGTTTTCTCTCCGCCCAAAAACAGCCGGTTTCAGTGGCGCTCACTCTTTTCTCTGGTCACGTGGCGTTCAAACTACAGTAATCCTTAGCTATAATAAAGTCAAGGGGACAGCAAAAAAAATCTGATATGGTGGTAATTCGATAAAAGCGAGAGAGGAAAAAAAAATAGTGCCAACACCTTGAAGGTGGATGGTAAGACTACGGTAGACTCTGACCGTACATTTAATCAAACCCACCTTGGTTATGAACATCTTGCAGCCGATTTGTCGAGTAAAAGAATAACTAAATGGAAGTTTGCAGATGATTTCATCCTGGCACGAGTTCTCCTCGAATTGCTCCAGGCATTGCAAGAACACTGTCACCGCCACCGCACTCCACTTTGTTTCGAAGTAGTCGTAAGATGTTTCGCATCTCCGCAGTCGTCGGAGTTTTAGTGTCTTCTTCAACGTCACTTTGTGCTTGCCCCGGCCGCACGCAAAGTCTACGATCGCAGCATCTGTTGCAGGACCTACAACGGGAACGTCCGCATCGACAAGCACGAAGCAATGAAAGTTACCCTCAAGAGCTTTACAAATGTTTTTTAGGGATGCCGCGAACCTCCCAAAGTTCCAGTTCTAAAGGTTGCGAAATGTTCAAACCTCTCCTAGATCAGAATTCGAAAAGTTTGCAACATAACTCTGCTAAGGTTCAATGTTTCGAATAATTCGAAAATGTTAAGCTTTCTGAAACGTACGAATCCAAAGACGTCAAAATAGTTTATAGATAGTTAGAAAAATTTGAATATTGAACATTGAATTGAACACTGAAAGGTTCAAAAGTTGAAATTTAAATTCCAAGCCTGAATTTCATGGAAATTCAGGCTTCGAAACTGCGGGAATCAAATTCCACAGTTTCGAACTAAGTTTTCTTGAATTCATATAAAACAAAACGCGAAATGTGCTACAAATTTCACTGAAAACGTTGACCATTTTTCTTACGCCGTGAACATACACCTTTCTTCTTCGTGCTGTGCTACTGACGGTACTACCTCTATTACTCGTTATTTGTCGTAACTTACGAAACACGCGTTGAACTGGCTGGTAGACTCCCGGCACCATATAAACAGCCTGGCCAAAAATTAAAGGAATTTTGCGGAGATGCCATTGTCTCTTGAAAGGCCGACGTACAACCTCGGTTTACTGCAGGGAAGACACTCCTCTTAGCTTTCCCCTCTCCTAAGCTGCGAGAAGAGCCAAGTTGGGGCGAGGTAAAAACTGGAGAGCATATAGGAAAGGAGGACAGCAAAAGTGGAAAGCCCGAAGTCGGCCTTTAAAGGAGCTGTGCAACAATTTCAGGGCTTTGGTTAAATAATTGTGAAAGTTGATGCCTGACACTTCTGCAGTGAACTACAAAAAACTGATTTTGACTGGATACCCTAGTTTTTATTTTAAAAAATGAAAAATATCCAGGTTTTTGCCGCCTCTCAACTCGTACATCGTCTTCCGGGTCACGTCCGCAGTGACGTCACTTGAGTAGGCGGGGGGTTCCGGAAAAGGTCCCTCTTTAGAGCCATCAGCGACAACTCATACGATCGCGACCACGTGACCACGTGCTGGCGGGCGCCCCGCGAAATATAAGGTGAAAGGAGGAAAGTCATCCGGGTCCGGCCATACCCGTCCTTGCCCGTCCGGCGCTGTCCCCCTCCCGCTCCGGCTTCTGGTGGCTATTCGCGGTTTTGTGGACCTAGGATAGATAACGCCACTAAACCTCCGTATAATAAAAGTCTTGTCGATGATACCAGGTTTTTTGACGCATTTATATATATTTTGGAACGACAAGATTTATAGAAAAGTTACCTTTCATCGAGCAGGTATTCGCACAACTTGCTATCTTTTTTACAACTACCCAAGTGACGTCACGCCGCTTGTTTCTCATGGCCGCCGCTCGTGGCTGCAGGTCGGGAAATATTCCAAGTTTTCCCTCGCTATTACGCGGAGGAATCGGAACATTTCGATGAAAGGAGGTGTGTTTGCCTTTTGTGACAAGGTGAACAATATCAAAAGCAGAAAATGCCAGTTTTTTTAACGTTAAAATCGTTGCACAGCTCATTTAAGTGGTGGGGGAGTGTTAGCACCGCTACTTCTGTAGCTACATCCTCATTGCCGTTCACCACGAGGAATAAGAGCGCTAACCGATTGATAAGTCAGACTCACCCACGAAAATCGGTTGAGTGTGTGGTTTGCCAGGCACAAGGACGCACCGGCAACGATGCTGGGCAGGTACTGAAGGTACGGGTCGTCCTCCAGGAACGTCAGCTCGCACAGATACTGGAAGAAATGCCGCGCTATACTCGAGTGGCAACTGGTTTAAAAGCACACAGAAGGCACTTCCAAACTTCTCATAATTAACACGCTTGAGGGAACGGGTAGATGCCCCTTTAGGCCAGTGTTGTGGAACAAGCACTGTCTTCCCCGCCGAAATTCCGGGGAATTAGTTTATGCCTTTCAACTCCCAGGAGTGGAGACACGGAGCCCATTCTCACTCCTGAGATGGCTGAACTGCTACACTCCTCCGATTCCTAAACGACGAAAATGGCTTTTTGCAGCTCCATGGCATTGCCGCCAAAATCTACATAAAATCTATGTCTTAAAATGCGTAGCAGACAACTGCATAGACCGGTGAAATGCGTCCACAAAACACTGATGTGAAGAGCACGTAATGCAAAGCACAACCTCTTGCGGTCCCTTACCGTGCAAGAGCACCCCCGGCGCCATCTGTCGGGCAGCTGTGGAACTCTTGCGATTTCTGAACATTTCCCATTTTTTTATTCACAACATTCTTTTGCTATGCAGAGCGCAAGTTGGTTTGCTTTTTTGCAGGGGTGTCAATAATGTGAGAACGACGATTTTTATTGGCTAATGCAAAAATATAGTAGGTAGACCTCAAGGCACCAAGCATAAGGCCTAGCCACTATTCTTTCGATCAAAGCCAATCAGAGCCCGGCGTCGTTCTGACGTCACCACAAATCCTCTGCGAAAAGCTGACTTTCTCTCCGTACTGGCTTGAAAACCTTACCGCAAAGTTCTGTGAGAACGCCCGCCCCCGAGAGATCGCCCATCCCATTTTTCTGGGTAAATATCTCCAACATAAAAATTCCGAAACATCGCCCACCCCCGATTCCTGTAAGAGGTCACGCAATGTCCGACAGGAATCGCATCAACCGCGTAATTTGTTGCACCAGCGAGATTATAGCGGTTTATAGTTTGTGTGACACGCGACTTTATAGCGGGTTCCCGCGTTTTTGTCCGCGATGTGCGTGAGCGATCTCGATTCCACTTGAGTTGGTCCCACATCTACATTGCATCGTAAATACGATTCTGCTGCATTCACAATCTGCGGGATTTGTTCCCGTAGCATGCGAGTTTGTAGCGGGTTCCTGCCTCTTTGTCCTTGATCTGCGCGCGCGATATTGTTTCCCGTGACAGACAGGCTTGTAGCGGGTTCCCGCGTGTTTATTGCACCATAATACTTCCATCTGCTACGTCCGTGATTTGCGGCATTCGTTCCCTTGAGAGTTCTCGGCAGATTTCCGCGGGACCTTAACACCATGAAACGCGAATCTGCTGCGTCCACAACCTGCGGTATACTTTCCCGTGACACAGGAGTTTGTAGCGAATTCCTGCTTGTTTATCGCATTGCGACACTCGAATTTAGGGTGTTCACGATCTGCCTTACCAGTTCCTGCATCACGTGGCTTGTAGCCAGTTTTAGATAAAGTTTTGCTGTGGCGTCCCCAAGGATAGCCCTCCCCTGTTTTTCACCATTAATCTCTTCATTTTGGGTGGGCGTTCTTTCGGAACTTTTCGCTAATGTCATAAACGACCGTTTCAATAAATTAAACACCGCAAATACTGCAAAACCTTCGCTGCAATGAAATGCAGTTCCAAAGTTGTCTCATTGGTGGTGCCAGTATTTTCTTGTCTTAAAGGGGCACTCCCGTGCTTTTCGTAGACGCTTGTTTTTAATGGCCTTTTGTTCAATAAAAATGACCAGTTCTAGATGGCAAGATGTCATAGTAAACTACCAGCAAAAAATACACGACTACTTCCTCTTCGGGGAGTAGGGAGGGAGGAGATCTTCCGGTCTCCACCCCCTCCATAAAATTGGACCAATGAAAACAGGGAGTTGCGTGAAATCACAAATATCTGTAATAGTGTTCTTTAATTGCATCAAGCACTATATTTTGACAAGAAATAAATCACTGGGTGCCCGATCGGGCTGACGTGGTTTATGGGCCACATTGGCCAAACGAGCTGCAAGGAGTGACATAAGCGTCGATCGTCTGCAAACGTCTCCGCCTTTCCTCCTCGCCACCCGCAAACACAGCGCGCCTGCAACCGATCATCACAGGAGGTGTTCACCATTGAATTGTAAACGCTACCCATGGTTTAAGATGGATCCTCTCTTCAATCTAGGCTCTGGTGAAAATGCCAACCGACGGAGCCCCCAGTGTCTGCTTTAAGGCGCAGAAAAAAGTGTGTGTCACAATCTTCGGTTAGATTTTTAATACGAAAATCTGTCACCCACGAGCGTAATTTCGGGTCTTTTTAGGATGACTTGGGCCCGCATATTGAGTCGTCGTCATCAACAGACAATCTTAGAACCCATTCCAGTTCCCCATTAGGATATCGTGCAAGGTCGTAATTTATCAAGTCGCAAGCGGTCGCAAGAGTGCGCACCGGCCTTTGGTGACAAAGGCGGCACCTAATCAAAGAAAACCTCTCGCATGTGCCAGGTGCTTGACGGTGTCCGGGGCCTTGCCGACTTCCGCGAAGCGGAGCAGGAAGTAGTAGATGGTGGGGGCCGTCATGTCGAACGAAAGCACCTTGAGCACCAGCTGTTCCATCCGAAGCACCTGCTGCTTCGTGTACGTGTCGTCCGTGATGAAGACAAACTCCGACACCTCCGGCGGGTAGATCTCCTCAAACTTCCTGCAGCGCCCACGTCAGACGCACCGATTGGTCTACAGACAAATGGCGCATTTACAAAGGGTAAGAGAGAAACGAGAGCAGTCTTCCGGCCGTACGAGCTAATCGTGCCAGAACTGCTCGTTCGGGAGAGCTTCCGTACGCCACCGTCTGGCAAAACCCAAACACAACAAATGATGTCAACTCTGCTATGGGTTTGTCGAATGCAGCTCATCTAGGAGGAGGTGCCGAATAAGTCACGAAAGGCTTAAAGGCTCCTACACACGACTGCAGCCGCTTGAGTCTCGTTAAGGCTGCTTGAGTTGAGCTGTTGCTATGGTGACCCCTACGATGAGCCAATGGGCAACGCAACGCAGTCGATGGAACTGCGTGAACGAGCTTTAACGCTTCGAGTGCCACGCCCGAATAGAGCAGGGTGCGCTTTCATATCGTATCTGGGTTTTCTGCCTGCCCCATTCAACCGGGCAGTCTTTTTTTTTTTTTTTTCAACGTGTAGCAGCATGCAAGGGCAAGCGATGAACTCACTGTTTTATTGTGTAGTGTCACTTTTTGTGGGCGCATAATTTCTTTTGTTTAGGCAACTTCCGTTTCTGTATCGTCCTCTTGCTTTGTTACAGAATGGTAGATCTGTAAGTCAACCTCGCACTTCGAGGAGGACGCCCAGATCTAGAAATTGCCGACAAACTATATTCAACGACCGCGAGATTGCATCTTAACGAGTTCATTTATGATAGTGATCAAGGGTTCCTCTGACACTCGAGGACATCACCTATTACCGTTTGTGATAAGAACAGATATGGAGTAAAGGAAGTCTTAGATAAGACTCTAGTCAGAGTAGGTTTCATGTACAATGGGTAATAAAAATTATTGAAAAGTGAATCATAGCGCCACACTCCACTGGAATAAATCCTCTCTCCCTTTTACACTTGGTAGTTTGTTTAGCCTGTAAATATAATTTATTTAAAATACAAGCAAGAGACAGCATATCCACTAACACGTCTACCAAGAGAAATCTGTCCCGTAAGTTTAATGAACCTACCAAACTCGAGACATATCCTAAACTGCAAAGACAACCACACAAAATTATTACAAAAGCCTACACTTGAGCTTTAAAGGTGGCACTGCCCTTAGTGGCATAGGAATCGGAGTGGATCAGTTTGCTGCTCTTTCGATCTACAGCTGCACGGGGACTACCGTGCCTACTGTATTTATACGAATGCATATACAATAAACGATCAATTTTATCGCGGGCTCAATATTTCGCGATTTAGGTCAAAGCTGAAGTTTTGGAATATTTTGCGGGTTTAAACTTCGCGATGCGGTGGAATGATCTCAATATAGATTCCAATGCGTTTACATTTTATCGGAATTGTTCGCGGGAGCCATTTTTCGCCAATTGTAAGCGATTCGCAAAAATCAGGTCCTCGCAAAAATTAAGTTGTTTACAGGGGTGGCCAGGCTTACCCAGGCTAGCAGCCGCAAACAAAACCACGAAACTTCCAAGAGCCGTGGGGGCGGGGGGGGGGGGGGGGGGGGCACACCTTTTGTTGAGAGCAATAAACGAAACTCGAACTACTTTCAATCTATCCGAGTTAAAAGCAGATAAGACTACCGAACCGCAATCTGTCTTTTGATTTAAAACTCGTTTCATTTGCTTGGGGAAGTGTGTGTGTGTGTGTGTGTGTGTGGGGGGGGCGGGGGGGGGGGGGGGGGAGTGCAGGAGAGGGAGCCGCGAGCCGCACTCTAACATCCGAAGAGCCGGATGCAGCTCAGGAGCCGCAGCTTGGCCACCCCTGGTATAGACCCTTGTTTTTTTCTCCCTTTTTCTCTGCTTTTTTTTTTTTCAAGAGATCAATTTGCAATTAGGACAAAGGTCAACCCGTAATAAATCGGAGCATAACTTGCATGCCCATCGCGTTAGGCCAGGCGCTGCCCCACAACAGCCGCTGCTCGTAGCACTCTGGTGCAAAGCGGTGAAGCTCGACGTGCGCACACTGATGAAAGGCAGTGAAGGCTGACGCAAGCGGCGCAAGTGCCACGGGACGGAGGCATGTGGCACACACGATAACTGAGTGTTCTTATCAGGAGTACAAGTAGCTGCAATCAACTATCTTAATATTTTGCAAAAGGTTTCTCGGGACTCGGTCTCCGACATCGACTGGAAATTTAGACGTCGTCGATTAACCAGCCAATGCTACAAGCGGCCAGAGCAGTCGATCCCAGCATCAACGGCTCTGCCCAGTTGAATTGCCGCTTCAAAGCGCGACATCGTGGCGTTCATCATCTTATTGTACCCGTGCTTTCATCGGCTAAACCAGTCAAGCGCAATGAATAGCCCCGTGACTTGCCACTTGTAATACGAGTGTTTTTAGGTGCGGGTGTTCCTGCCTTCGCCAGTGCTCTGACATAAGACGGGGCAAACTATACGATCTGTAGAGACGCCGTGAAACTCGTATTTGTAAAAATTTTTCTTTCCCTCTACTTCCCCAAATATTAAAGTGGACTAATAATAAACCATTAATTTTTTTCTGATTTAGGCCCATCTAGGCACATGTGAGGCACTAGTCTTAGCAAAAATGGCATTGTGACGCAAGTAGTACCAGGATTCATAATGCAATTTGGCGCAGCACTTCCATCACCAATGCTTGGGGCACATAAATTGGGCTTGTGCCATAAAAGCTGCCCTAACCATAAAAGAAAGAACATGGATCAGTGTTGGGTGTAATCAAGATCGGAGCACGAGCGTGACGTCACGGCCTTCGCTCTCACGCATGAAGAGTCCACTCACGCAGCGATGTAGAGGGCGGCTGTGCCGACGAGCTGTAGCTTGTTGCGGATCACCGACATGGCGGAGAGGAAGCGGTCCACGTGCGAGATGCCGAGGAAGAGCGTCTCCGAGTGCAGGCGATACTCCTCGGCCACCTCCACCAGCCAGTCGACGAGGATGGCGCGCATCGAGGACGTGATGTCCGGCTGCTTGCTCATGTAAGTCGGCTTCGGGGTCAGCTTCTCCTTCGCGCACCCGGGGAGAGAAAAATAAAGCCGTGAGAGACGCACGCGAGAAGGCGTGATTGAGGTCCTCCACCCTTTGCAGTTCTCGTACAGTGCCGACTAGCAGCCGACCGTGGCAGCTCCCACTCGCTGGCCCGGAGTGACATTCTTAAAATTTTTTCTACAATTTACGAGGCATTGAAAATGACGGCTCAGAGTTCCGACACTTTCAAGGACTTGTGGGAAGCCTGCACGATGGACAGTTTCATTCAAGTGCTCAAACGCGTCGTTGACGGTTAAGCGAGGTTTCGTCTGAAGTTGCGGAGCAGCTTAAGCGGTTCCGCGACTGAGCGAGACGATGTTGCCCGAGCCTCTCGACGCCTAATCTAAGGTTCGCGGAGTCCCAATTCGAGTGGTAGCTATGGTCAACTGCTCTTGTGCTTTGCGAAACAATCCGGGAATGCGGTGTCACTAGTCTGGGTTCCCAAACTGCCTTTCTGGGGATATAGGGGGTTCCTCCAAGACTCTCCAAACTCCCGAATTTCCTCGAACGTCCGAAACTTTAAGTGAAGCGTTTCCTCGGTTTAAGCGCCACTTTAGCAGATCTAACCCTTTTGTCAATGCTTAACTACAAGCTATAAACTTCCTGCACATCTTGAGAGCAACGGGGGCTCCTTAAAGGGATACTTCAACGAAATTTGAAATATTCCCGTCGTGTTCAAAAATAGGTTGAATATGATCCACAATATCCGTAAATGACAAGCGCACGTTTGTATTTTGAGCCTGGTGGCTGTATTTTCCGTTATAACAGGCCCACTCTGGCAAGCGCTCGGAGAAGGCCCAGCGGAGACCACGTGATATCCGACGCAATCGTTCCAGCCACCGAAGCGGCTGCTTTTGTACGAATTTTGAGTGACGGGTTAATCTTCTGTAATCTTGTAGGGGGACAATAGGGACTTCTGCGACACACAAAAAGCATTCTCGGAAAGAGGGGAGTTCCTCGTTCCCCCCTCTCGTCGTGGCCGGAGGCGAGACAACCTCCGTCACTCGCTGTCAAGGGTCCTAGACGGGCGTTACAAGCGAGGTCTTAGCGACATCCAGCAGGCGCTCTTTGCTAATCGTTTAATTCGTTTTAAAATTCCTTTTCGTGACTTTTTAACAAGATATTGGTATGTTTGATGTGATGCTGCTCCTTTGAACACATATAGACCAAAAAAAGAGCGCCGAAATTTCGTTGTAGTATCCCTTTAACCTCCTCACTGGGGCATCTAAAAAATCCTGTTACCTTGTCAGTCTGAAATTTTTTGCAGAATAAATGTCCAGTTTTAAATAAACCTCTGGGCAAGCCCACTGGTGCAAGCGCAAGCGGACAAGGTACTCTTGGTGCCAGAGTTTCGAGAGGCAAGAATTCGGGTTCCACCAAGACTAGTTTTCAAGCGGAGTCGCGAGCAATGTGTGCTGCACCAGACGCTCATTGTTTGCAGTCACTCGGAGAAAGGGAAGCACAAATTCACCGAACGATGCCGATCGAGGTGGAGAATCCTCGGGTTTTACGGAATCGCTGAATTCCCCCGAAAACTCACGGCTTCCACTGTTCCCAGGTTGGTAGATGTCCCGTTTACTGCATCAATCTCCAGGTTGGGGTTTCCTCGAGTCTGGAACGTTCCCCGGAGCGGTTCGCTGGTGAATGCGGGTACTTCTCCCGGCGAGAGATTATCTGGCGACATGACTGGCTCAGAGAACGGAAAGTACCTGTACTCCATGACACTAGTTGCGTGCAGTGCAGGCAACGACAACGCCAGGCAAAGAGAAAGGGCGAGCACTAGGAAGGCGAGGGGGGAAAGGCAGAGCGCTACGAACCTTGGAAAGGAAAGGAGGTTTCTCTCCTCGTCCCCACCCTTCCTAGTGCTTGCCCCTTCTCACCTGGCGCTGCCTTTCCCTGAACCGCATGCAACTAGTAACACTGGCAATAGCTTTCCAGCCGATATCACTCGTCAGGCACTTGCCCATTTTTTTTTACTCTCACACCAGGACTATCCTTCCCAGAGACAACTTCACATGCCTCTCCTAAAGCAGACAAATGCTATTAGTCTCGCATTTCAGGCCTGCTTATCTTCTCGCCCGTGAAAAAGCGTATTTGAATAATCTAAGTGAGGACAGAATTGTGGCCAAAGCGGGCTTGTGCTACGTCTTACTTTCTGTCCATGTCTCGTGGCACTTTTGTCAAAAGGAATGACGTACCAACTAGCCCGTCTCTCACTATTGATACTATTTATGGCAGCCATTTGCCAATCTCAGTTACCTATGCTGCGCTGCAGAGTCGACGCTGGCGCATCGTCCACAGTGCTCGCACACCGTAAAAGCCATTCGCTCGAGCGCTGTATTGTCTAAGGAAAAGACGAAACAGAAATAAGATAATAAAGGAAGAAGGAGACGAAAGTCGTACAACTGAATCGGCGTTCCTTCATCTTACATTTAACTACACCTCCATTTGCGTTTACAACGCGTTTACACGGTCTCCTTTCCACCAGAGCGCGTGAAAACAAGATGCAAGACAAAGCAGCGCACTCTCGCAGCAGTGCCGAGCTGCAGCACAACACAAGAGACGCTAGCCTGGACAACACAGCAGAAAACAGTAGACGTCGAGTTTTCTTTGTAGGTACCTCGTCCCCACGAAGCTAGTCATGCGACAGTAAAACCACCGGCAGAGATACCTACATTCACTAGCAAACCGACCCCGCTGGAGAAAGCGGCCCATTCAGCGGCTCTACCACGCCGGCGACGCCGTTCTAAAACGAAGCAGCGGCCCCGTCCCGCAAGACCGCAGGCACACTGCCCGTTAAACGTACAAAAGGTATGGTGCGTGCATGGAGCACGTTTTCTTCATACAACTGTATGCTTCGAACACGTCCTTTTGCAAGACGTATCAGCAGCGGCGTGACAGAAAGGAGCCCACCCACCTCCTGCTGCCTGAGGTGGGTGTAGATGTCCTGGGCGTACTCCGAGCTGGCCTCCAGGTCCCGGATCTCCATGTAGGACATGGGCTCCAGGGTGTGCAGGGACGTGTCCAGGACCATGGGGGAGTCTGGGCCCCAAGGTCCGTGGTCGGCAGGGTTCCCCGGTTTGGGAGAGAGGGGAAGACGGCGGGGGGTCCGCTCGACGGTGCAACCAAAATGCCGCTCCCAACGCGTTTTGACGGGAGCGCCCAACCTCCCGTTCCGCCCACGCATTACACCATCTCCAGAGCGGCGACGAAACGAGTCGCGGGAACCGTCGAGTAAAGGTGGATTCGGGCATTTGAATTTCAGTGTGACCAACTACGCCGCGACTCAGAGTGAGTCTCGCGTGCCCCAGTCTGCCGCACTCTATGCAAATGTCCGAACCGGTGGGTTCCGGGTAGGAGCCTCTCCGGCGCTTGTCAATACGTAAAAGCTGCACACGCGAGGTAACAAGGCTGTTATTACTTTATAAAGGTGCACTAAAGTCGTTTCTGAGATCTTGTGCTCTCAGGGGGGGATTTAGAGGGGGGTCCGGATGTCCTGACCCCCCTCTCGATTTCTGAATGTGTAAAATTTAGGGCGTGAAACGAGGGAGAGTGGGTTCCTAAACATATGGTATGCTGACCAACACCTGACCCCCCCCCCCCCCCCCCCCTCAGGAAATTCTTGCATCTGCCCCTGTCTCTTCTTGTTGATAACTCATTGTACAGGATCGTAGCACCAGAGAAATGAAAAAAGTATGCTCGTGCGACGTCCATTTTCCTACTAAAATGTTATTGAAGTTAGTGCCATGCCCCTTTCTGAGTGGAACCTCTGGAGCACAGAATCCAGCGGAGGCGTGACATCGGGCACACCGCCTGGCTAACACTCACTCATCGTCACGCGGCTGCCTCCGCTGGATTCTGTGCTCCAGAGTTTTCTACTCAGAAAGGGGCGTGGCGCTAACTTCAATCACGTTTTTAGTAGGAAAATGGACGTCGCACGAGCATACTTTAATTTCTCTGGTGCTAAGATCCTGTACAATGAGTTGCAACCAAGAACAGACGATCCCAGGAACGTCTTTAGGGTACCTTTAAGTCCGGAAGCTACTTATGCCATGAGCCAATGGGGCTAGCCACAGTGTTTTAAGTGCATATTTGCGGTGGTCCTTATATTACAGGAAAGGCACTGTAACTCGCGTTTTCGAAGCTCTTCGGTCGGTCTGTCGGCTCGTGGCATCAGCTGCGTCTGAACTTAAAGTGAAACGGTGTGTAGGAGTTGTCGGAAAAGCCGCAACGCGGACGGACGGTCCGCAGGTTCGGGACGCGGCGGCAGACTCACCCGCGGCCTCGCACTCCATTCCACAATCTGGAGAGTCTGAGCAGACATCGCCGGACGCCCCCCGATCATCGGAATGCTGAGCCTGCTCGCTGTCCTCGTCGGGAGCAACGGCGGGGACAGCCGCCTTGACGTCGACTTGCGACCCCCGTGCGCCAGACGACTCTGCGTAGATCTCGAAGCTGGGCGGAGCACGGCACAAACTGGATCCTCTGCAGCTCAGTCTGGCCGACCGCCGGGAGTTGGATTGCTGCGTTCGAACGTCCTTGCCACCGTCGATTCAATCGATCGACAAAGCGACCGAAGGGCACTGTATACCCCGGACTGGAGTAGCTTTAGAGCCACGCGGAGAGTCCGGCGCCCTTTGTGAATCCGGAACGCATTTTAAAAGAGGCAGGGTCGGGATTGGTGCAGCCGTTCCGCAACGGTGTAGCCACACGGTACCACTGCCGGCTAGCTTTCCTGGACTACCGTCCCGCCACGTTTGGTGGGGCTCCGCGGGGGATCACCTGGGCATGCGACTTCTCGGTATCTCGCAACGCGGAATGCAGTCGTGTAGTCAAGTCGTAAACAATCAAAAGCTCCAGTTGTCCCGACTCCAGCGCGACTGCCTTAGCTTCGACAACTCGTACACCTACAGCACCCGTGAACAGCCACACAGAAGGCATGAAGCACGTGTTCGATGACTGGCGATTCAAAGACACGCCGTTTTCAATCTGCCAGCGACTGCAGCGACGTTGGGGATTGAGTGGCGGTGCGATGTGGCACCACGACTCGACTTCTGGACGTTGTGCTGCCCAGATTCGGATATGTATTACTAAGGCATTCTGTGTACGGGATGTCTGGGCGGCAGATCAGAGAAGCTCCTTAATTATTGCAAGGAGCATAGACCAGAGACAAGCAGGTTGGGTGCCAAGAAGGTTAGAAGTACTAGGAGGGGGCACCTTGCAATATCAGTGAAGCCTAGTGATAAAACGTTTAAACGATGTTGTGGCCAATCTGATCGTAGATCTCTCTGGCAATTGGTGCGCGTGGCATATCACGTGTGAGATGGATGGTTGATTGTAGAAGGATTCCTTGCAGGCTTGTGCGCGCTCCGTCCAGTAAGTTTTATCAAATCAAAGGTTAGACGAAGGCTAGCTACGGACACGTGGTCATATTGGGCTGATAAGTCAGGAGAGTAAGGAGGAAAGTGAGAAAGAGGCGTCAAGGGAGCATGGCTTGTGGAGGCTACGCGGTCATGCCCTATCCTACTCTTCTATCCTGCTTGTTGGCTGCTCTTAGGGACCAGCCATCGGGTTTAGACAGTCAGCATGGGCATCGCGAGAGCGACCATGTTTCAAGAGCAGCGAAACACGTGCATCTCAAGAGCATCGGTGGCTTCAAAATGCCCACATTGCGCCATTGGAGTAGGCAAGCTTTGTCAGAGAACAATAGACCCAACCTCCCACGGACTGTAGACCACTCAACACTAACCCTAGCGAACTTTCATTCATTTAACACTCAAATTCCCGCATTCACCTTAGGAACAGACAGAAATCACAGGTTGTTTAGTGTGTGGAAATATTTTGCATAACCCCCCTTTCCCCAAGGGATTTAAAGGTGCACTAGGGATGTTTCTGAGATTGTCTCTTCTTGGTGATAACTCCTACGAGAACTAAGCATCCCAGAAATCGAAAAATTGTGCTCGTGCGAAGTCCATTTCCTTACTAAAAATGTCATCGAAGTTCGTGCCACTCGTCTTTCTGAGCAGAGCAATCTGGAGCACATAATTCAGCAGAGGCGCCAGCCAATCGCAAGCAAATGCGCCACCAGCACCTGCGCTGAATTCTGTGCTCCTGATGTTGCCGCTCAGAAAGGGGTGTGGCACAAACTTCGATCACATTTTCAGCAGGGAAATAGTCGTCGCACAAGTATAATTTCCCAATTTCTGGGATACTAAGTTCTCGTAGAAGGAGTTATCACCAAGAACAGACAATCTCAGAAACGCCTTTAGTGCTTCTTGAGGATGGTGGCCAATGACAGCCTATAAGATTTCTTATCTAAAGAAATCTAAAGCTAAATTTCTCCAGCTGAATCCGACGCCATGGTATACAGTACTTTTGCCAAATTCAGTGGCTCTAAACTGCACCAGCTACATTTGCTAACTAGTCTTGCTAACCAAGCGAGAAGTGGCATCATTTTGACATTGAGGAAACTACTCCATTTTTAGTCGATGTAATCATAATACTCACATGCACTCTTCTGTACCATTAGGTTAACAAGGTCGCATACCAATAGAAAGCAAAGGGGGGATACTAGGGGCAGCAAACTTAAGTCTTCAAGCTCTCAGTTTCTTGCCAAGGGAGAAACTCAGTTCCTCCCTTTAAATGAGAGCACAACGTTGCGTATGTACCAGAATTCAAAAAGAGGCCAGGTGAACTGCAAGGTTCTTTACCTCAAAAACTGGGCAATGTCGATAGATAAACTGTTAGAGAAACTGAGAGAGCGGTAGTACGCATGTCTTAAATAAAGAAAAAAAGACTAAGAAACTTTTAAGAAACGGTCGACATAGAAAACCACCCATTCCAATGTTACTGTCACAGATATCAGCGAAAATCACTATGACCGGAAAGCTGACGATTGTTCCAATTTTGCATTCCCAAAAAATATCTAAAAAAGGGAACAGGCATGATTTTACGCAAACGGGCATGGAAGTGTTTGCACAATGGAAAGGCAGTTCGCACCAAACACTACCGGCTTGTAACTGAGATATGTGCAGTGCTAATCACTTGTCTATAACGCGCGAGCATGCGGCTTTCCCCGGGGAGCGCTAGACTGGTGGTATTCGCGGAAACTAAGCTTGTCACGTGGCGTAACATGGAACGGTCCGCTCGAGGGGTGTACGCCCACTCTATCAGCTGGTGACGAACGTGGAAGGCTGCTCGTACGATTTTTAAAAACATCATTGCTCGAACAATGAACACATTAAGGCATTAACGTGTATCAACGATGTCGTCATCAAAAAACAAGAATATATTGCAAAGCACTTTTATCGCGTATCAAGCTGACAGAGTGGGCAGGACACCCCTCGAGCGGGCCGTTTCATGTTGCGCCACGTGACTAGCTTTGTTTCCGCGAATGCCACCAGTCTAGCGCTCCCCGGAGAAAGCAGCACGCTCGCGCGTTAAAGACGAGTGTGATTAGCACTGTGCTTGCCAATTCCCATAGCTTTTAAAATATATATTCTCACAATAAAATACCGAGATTCTAGCGTCGAGCACTAACGTTCGGAAAAGCCGATCCAGGCTGGATATGTAAGCACACTTGCTGCGTCGACCTAGCACGTTCACCCCTGCAGCAATCAAAACTACTCGAGATATTTTTATCCAGTATACAGAGTATCATGATTGTTAACAAATTTACTCGGCAAGAAAAAAAAAATCTACAAAATCGTCTTTTTGAAAACGCACGTAACGCACACTACTAAACTAGCGAAACGAGGACGCTTAATAAATGTCGCGAAGATAATCCGGAGCTACCGTGAGAAACACGAGCAGAATTACAGCAAACCGAAGCTTTCACGACAAAGATCCCAGGTCCAAGACGCCCCCAAAAATCTTGCGAACACAGAGAAGCGACGAACAAAACGTTAGGTTTACAAATGGTTGAAGACAACATAATGAACAGGCACATTCAAGCACGGAAGGATCTATGAACAAGGAGAACATAAAACATAAAAGAAATGAGGAAGGTTCTCCGGAAACCCATAAAAAAAGGGGGGGTCAACGATTGGAACAAAGCTACAAGGCATGAAAAAACGCACCTGTCGAACTAAATCCCGCTTCGTGGGCCCGGCCTGCTTGCCACCGCCCACCACCAAATTGGGCTGCAAATTGGTCAGCGCCGGCCTCTTGATCAAAGCCCGGGTCTGCATCTTGCTGTCGGGGTTCTCGGACCTCTTGGAAGGGGCAGCCCCCAAGGGTCTGGAGTTTTCGTCGTCGGCGTCGACAACGGATGCAACGTGTGCTTGACGCCTCGCCATGTTTAAAAAAAACGGTCGGCTCGCTTCTTGCGCTCACGGGCAGAAAGAAAGACGGGCCAGTTTGAAAATCTCGCGTCTCCCGGTGTGGGTCCGACTCACGGCTGCATGGGGGCTCCTTTCGGTGACCTTCGTGGCTGACCCGAGCTGGTGTGCGGTCTTTGTATTGATGTCCGAATGAGGATTTGTTTCCCACGCCCGAGCCAACCGCGCTGTCGGAACCCAACTGACCGGAATGCAGCTGAGCTGGCTGAGCCAAAAAGCGTTCAATTCCCCGTGACGGGTTGGTTCCGCACAAAGGGACCAATGAAATGCGCCCGTTCGGGTCACGTGAGGCCACGCATGAAGCCCATACGTCGCTTATTTTTATGTTTTTTGATCTCGCAAGTTCGCGCGACCGCGCGCGACTTCGCGATCACGGCGCCACCAGCGCCACTTCGAACCTTAATTTCGAAACACAAAACCTGGTCCAAAAATAATAGACATTTGGTGTGCGCTGTGCTGCAAGATTTAAAAATTAATCATTTTTTTTTTATAATTAATAATTTCTTTGCCTCGTCCCAATGAGCTTCAAGCAAGTCAATTTAATGTCTAGTTTATTATGAATAAAGCTATACGCACTCCGGAGTGCATTTCGGTCGAAGTGGCTATACCCACTCGGCTAAACTCGTATAAAATGAAGGGCCACAACATGCTGTTTAAGCGATGGCGTAGTATAGGAGTTAAGGATTCCGGTTTGTACGCAAGTGGACTCGGGTTCGATCCGCGGTGGGCCTACTTATTTTTTTTTCTTTTTTTCTTCTCAAAACATTTTGTTTTGTCGAGGAATGGGCGATATTTACATTTCTTTTTTCCGATGATGTTGTCGACGAAACTTCGCAGAACTAAATGTTATGGGTCTCCCTTTTCGGAGGTGCGATCGGGGACTGCGGGGCTTGGGTTGCCGGCTGGACTCCGTGCAGCGGCGTGTACTGGTTAAGTTTTGTAATTAGCAGCCGATACTGTCGCCGCGAAGCGGCGTGAACGCAGGCGGGGGGCTGTGTTAACGAGCCCCCCAGTGATACATGCGCCGTTCGAAAAGGGTGGCCCGAGCGGCATGAGCTCTGCGCGGAGTGCGGTTACCTATTTCGTCTAAAATGCACTCCGGAGTGCGTATAGCTTTACTCGTTTATTATTGCCGAAAAATACCTCGGAAGAATATGAGTACGGAACCCGTACAAGTTCACAAAATGTGTAGTTATTTGTTTGACGCCCTTATCGAATATAATATTGGTCCGTAAATATGGGCACATGCTTTCATTGCCCGTCGTCCGCGATGCGAAATCACACTAGGAAAATCTGCGCAGCGTCGAGTTTTCAACGTTGACAATTATTTGTATTTGTATGACAGTGTTGTCCTCATCTAGCATATTGTATCACCACATATGAACACAGTTCTTGCAGTCTGACAAGATGAGAATGATGGATTCCTACTTTAGATACCGCTTCGGCGTCTTGTAAGCCTGCAATGCGCAGCCCCAGCACTGTGCATGCTGGAGCAGGGGCATTTGAAACAGACGCCCTGTCGTTCTTGTCCCCATAGTTTGGACTGTTGCCTTTGTGTTGCTCTCATAAGCCAATAAAAAATTTTATTATTACTTCTCTTTTAGATGCTATGCATTGGTTCATTTCCACTAAGTTCCTTTAGTCGACTGTTCCTGAGCGGTGTGACATGGAGGCACAATCCGGAATTGTCAGGGACATTGTCAAAAAACGAGCCCAGTCAGGGAAAATAAGCCGGAAACGCCATCGAGTGCCCTGAGCAAAGACTTGCGGACTTAGTGGAAGAAAAATGGGCAATAAATTCTGCTTAGAGCAGAGCGCAGGCGCTGCTCACCCGATATAGAGTGTGCTATGCGATGCAAAGGGAACAGCCGACAAATCCAGTCCAAGCATTGGATTGGATTGAGGGCGCGACACTAGACTAGACCTAGCTAGGGCTACTATAGTTACAAACAAATGGGGAAAGCCGCACTCCCCAACCCAAGCTTTACAACGAAAGTATCCGAAAGTGTGCATCTGGTGGCCATGCTGCCATTCGGTTATTGACGTGTGTAGTTGAGCGTTGTGTTCTCCCCTTGTCTCCGAAAGTGGCCTCTTTACTGACGATGCTGGCAGCAAGAAAGTGCTAATTTAATCCGTACTGGACGAACCCGAATATTTCGGAATATTCATGTTGGATTAAGCCCGTGCAAAACGATTCTCACAGTGCTCAGTGCTCAATGCCTTGTGTTGTAATGGTCTTATATATTTAACCACCTCTACAGTGGTTAGGAAATTTCACCTGAAATTGTCAGGGAATTTCAAAATAACAATTTGCTAGACACCCTGCTCCACAAAATAAGCTTCTTCATTGACTCTACTCCCGGAGTAAAAGGATGCAGTGGTACGGGACAAAGCAAAACACACTCCAGCAGTGACCAGAACTACAGCAACTCAATTTGTGTGTTCAAAGTTGTACCTTCTGTTTGAAAAAAAAAAGACACCATTGAACTGACAACTTCCAAGTGTCCCTATGTATGTTTTCCAGTGTTGATTGTTCCCCCGTATCGCTGTGCTTTTCAAACCCTTGATGCGAACCACGGTATATTTTAAAAGCGAAGCCGTGCCTCGCTCAATTAATTATATGATTTACAATATATTTGTATACCCAAGCGGGAAGGGGTTTACACACGTCCTTTGACTGGTCTCATGTCATGTTACAACCATCACATCTTCATTATCTTCAACGTGTTATTTGGTCCACGCGTGGGACCGTTCCCATTGTCCAGTGGACATCTTTGAAGAGGAGGCAGTTTGTTTAGAAATGTGGCTTTCTTGTGCTTGCAGGTTTGGCCTGAGCAATAAATTCGACACGGAATTCCCGCCAACGCTATCTGCTAAGGTAAATACCCTCTTTGAAATCCGCACCCAATCACTGACAACCCTGAATCGCGGTGGTTATCTTGAGAGACGCTCTTGTAGAGATATGCTAGTCTTAAGAAACAAAGGTTGAGATTTAAACACAAATCTAGCTGTGATATGGTGACGCACAATGTGGGGTCACGAAATTTTGCTGGCTCAATTGCCGTAAAATTGTTTTTTTCTCGCTAACATACTTTGGTCCATTTATGGCCAAACCAACTTGATTATAGGCTGTGATATATGTTGCTGGCTTGCAGTAGCTCCTGTGTGCAAACAATCATTCTGTATTGTCTATGAATGCAACCTTGAGAGAGGCTTGCACCAGTTTTTTCATAACTTTAGTTTTAATTAATAATAACTGCCTACTATCACTGAGAGATAATTGTTCCTGTCTAGGAAAACAATCTTTAACAAGCCCAGTGGCCTGTTCAGTGCATTTAGCGCTAGTCTTTTACCGGCGTCCCCGCTAACCCTATCTGAGTGGACCGTTGATCTCGATAGGTGCAGGCTGCGTAGGTGCAACTTCAGACACAGCTGGCAGCTCAACTCTCGCCTTTCCCGCTGTTTTGTTTTGCAATTAATGCTGTAAGTACTTTCCCAAAGACATTGAAGAAGCATTCTGCCGCATTTAAAACAAAAAGGAAACTGGTTACTACTTTTGTTGGTACGTGCACGACTAAACAAACGTGGCTGGTATGTTTTTTTTTTTTTTGTTTTACGACGAGTTTTGTTGGCGCTGCCTGTTCGGCAGTGTCAGTCGACAAAGCTGTCGAAAATCATTGACAACAGAAGGTGGCCGGAAGGCACGCATATTTGACGCGCACAAATGATGTGATACCAATCTACACGGCACGACTCTGACATCAAACTTAGCAAGCGTCAACATTCAAACAATATATTGCGCATACCACACGGTACACCAATATTAGAAAAGTATTTATCTGAGAAAGATATCAAATAACGCGCCACAGCAGTGTTGACGACAGTCGCGCCTATACAATCGGCCGTAATCCAAGAGGACCTGGTTTTGGGGAGAGTTTAATTTTTTTTTTTTTTTCACAATGCCAGCACCAAGCAGAGAGACAACTATGGTCTCCAGTCCCCAAGATAAAGCTCTGCTCAGATTATCTCTGGGACTTGAAAGAACAGTTGTCCTGGTTTGCAGAATTGTGTCGTGGGCAGTTCGATGTTCTTTCCTTGCTTTGTTTCTTCTGAATGTCGAGCAGAACCGCTGAAATGGTGTGCACGTACCAGCCTCATTTCTCACGGGGGAAAACAACAGAGAAAGGGCATGCAGCATGCTCAAGGAAAATAAAGCAGAGACTTCCAAGAGAGGCTGGAAATCTTTCTTTGCGAAACCGCAAAATATAGGTGGGGGATCGCACTGAGCAGGTTTCAACAATCCAGGGGAGTGGCAGAAAAACTCCTAGGGCATGCGAGAGTCGCACCAGACGCTTTCATCATCAGCAGCATGGTGGCGGCCTAGGAGCGTTTTTTCGGAAAGGTTGTGTTTAGTTTGCCCTGCTGCATGCCCGACCCGGAAAATAACACATAGTCAGTTCCGGTTGCTGTCCCGACCGGTATCCGCCTCCAGAAAAGTCGAGTGTCACGCTTTCGCCTGTAACGAAATCTCGGCCCACGATCACGGGCGCTACGAGTCCTGGCAGATAAAGAAATCGCTGACGCCGCTTCTTTCCATTAAACAGAGTCCGCAGCCTCACGGCTCCTGCAGCTGTTATCGCTGTGCCAGAAGCTAGCTGCAAACGGGTTTTTGCATTCCTGGAGTAGGGTGACCACCTTCCTGATGGTCAAATGCGGGACACGCTGACCGGGGGGGGGGGGGGGGGGGTTACAACTGCGGCATCTAAGAAGGATACATTGGAGGAAATGTATTACCACGCACACCACTAAATGTGGCTGAAAGCATATTATACACCTGCGCACTGTATTGCTGCCATTAAGCTCAAATAACTTTCACACTAATGTTAATGACAAGTAAGCTATTAAATGTGTCTAAGTTTAGAACATCAAACTTGACTGCAACAAAGCTCAACGCGTCAAAAGTAAAAAACAAACAGTAAACCTTTTTTCGGCTCATTGTTTCCTGTCGATATACTTTTACCAACATACTTTTACTCAAATTTAGAACCCTATGTTTTTATTAAAACTTGGGTTTGGGCTAGTTGGCCCACACTGAAATAAAAGGACAAAAGCACGAACAAAACGAGGACAGTAATGAGGTGGAGAACTGGGCCAGCTGGTTGACGTTATACACGTCCGGTCGTGTTTGCT